AAACACAGCCGACTGGCTCATCGCTCCAGTTAGCAAGAGAGAGACATAAGATATGCGAGGAAACTACTAGAATGTGTTGGTCGGAAGTCTAACGCAATAAACCGAAGACGCAATTAGGTGTAGAACCATGAAGCGCGACTGTCTTTCATCTTCCCGTGAGTCTTGTAATGTATTCGTAACTTAAATTATTAAAACCTTCATATAAATCTACAATATTTATTTACGAGCCCCTTCCCACTTCAGTTGGCCCACTACGAGATTTGTACCAAAATATGCCTTTATAAACTAAACATGACGAAACTATTTACTTCTGAAACAATTTATTTTCTCAAAAACATTTTAGATACACTCTAGTCGTAAAAAATACATATTTGAAATCACTTAGACCTATAACTAATAGAACATCTCAACAAATAAAACATGTGCGAATAAATGCGCGAAGCTAACAAAGGAACAATTATTGAAAGATTGCCATTGGGTAACATCACCTTTATTATTTTTTTATGGCTGAAATTCTTTAGGGCATAGTTTTAACCAAATTTTGGCAACAATTTGGTGTAAAACAATCCCATATTTCTTGAAGCTTTTGTCTCAGTTCGGTGATTGTACGAGCAGGATGTTGTCGTAGGGCCTTTTTCATCTCGTGCCACAAAGTTTCAATAGGTGACAGATCTGGACTGTTAGAAACCCATTTCAAAAGTGGTACATTATTTTCTTCCATCCATTTTATAGCCTTTTTCGAGGTATGGGACGCTGCACCATCTTACTGAAACACAAAATCTTGGCCGGATGCCAAACATCTTCCAACACTGGTAAAACCGATTCTTCTAAAATTTTCCAATATTTGTTTGTATCCAGATTTCCATCAACGAAATGAGGTTGGACGCAGGACATTTCACTTTTGTCTTCAGACAGTCAACATGGAATGCTTCATTTTTTTTGTGAATAACTCTACAGCGACTGTCACCAACACAAACTTCGAATCGGGCCTCATCACTCCATTGTATTGCACACCATTGTTGAGGTGTCCATTGTCTATGTTCTTTAGCCCATCTAAGCCGATTTTTCTTTTGCAGTGGGGTTAATAGTGGCTTTTCTTTGGCCTATAAACAAGTTGTGCAACTTTAGGGCTTTTCCTTCACCTTTTTTATAAGAAAGCTTACCTTGCAATTGCTAAATCCCAGTTTGTGGGCCTCTCTGTGAGCTGTGGACCTCGAAATTCTCCTTCCAACAGTGTCACTCTACAGAGCACTTAATTGTAAATAATTGGCGCGCCTGTTTTTCACGATTATTCTTCTTAATGCTCTTCGGTCGGCATTTGTGATATTACTTTTTTTCACATATCGTGGCTTAATATTAACTGAACCAGTTACGTTATACCTTTTAACAATATTTCTCACACTGTACCGCGATGAGTCTAACAAAGTTGCAAGTTCTGAGTTTGATTTCCCAGAATTAAAAAATTTAATTATCAGTAACCGAATTTTCTCACTAATAACCGTTCCTCTACCCATTTTGAAAACCTTAACTACCCAAAACTATTTTAAACGTATTCTGACAGCTGTGATTAATAAAAACAATTTTCATGGCTTTTATTTGTCACAGCGACATATGCGTTATAGAGTTATTTTGCATTGAAATGAAAATAGGTTGATATGCTGTAATTGCAACATGTGTTATTTTTATGTTGCAAATTTTATTAGGGAGTGATAAAGTTGGTGTTTTCTACTATATATACTCAAAATATTCATTGTTAATATTTTAAACCTATAACACCCTGCTACATTTTTATTATTTGTCTTTGATAAGATAAAAACTAAGATTTCAATAGTTGGGCAAACTGGAGTGGGAAGGGGCTCGTATATAAAATTGTGATGTGGATCTCCTTTCGACTACTGTGAGACAAATTAAGGCTGATTTTAAATTTAAGTAAAACATCCTTATCTCATTTTATTTATTAATTAATTTTTATAGTTTTTCTCTGTCGTTATTTTTTAGTTATAAGTTTTTGTGTAGTCTCTGTTTCTCTACTAGCCAGTAAGCACTCCTACATGTAACTAGATTCAAATGTGCTTGTAAGAGCTTAAATAAATAATTAAAATAATTAATTAATCGTGCTGAAAGTTACTGAAGACCTGCATTTGATCTTTTCCGAAAGTACATTACCCGAGAAAATACAGAGCCTTCCTGGGACTTTTGTGACACGCTGTATACCAAATACACCTAGCTCCATCATCGCCTGTTCATTCTGAATCGAATGCATGCTTGCAAATGAATGTGTTATTTTTATGCTGGAAATTTGATTAGGGAGTGATAAAGTAGGTGTTTTCTACTATATATTATCAAAATATTCGTTGTTAATATATTAAACCTATAATACCCTGCTACGTTTTTATTATTTGTGTTTGATATGAAAAAAACTAAGATTTCAATAGTTGGGCCAACTGAAGTGGGAAGGGGCTCGTATATGTAAGCAGGAAGCTAGAAGCTATAATAATAATAATGCCTCTATTCAGTAAAGCGAAGTTCAGAAATAACTTCTCTACCACTTTGTCACGTGCTCAAATCGCGTATCCTTTTTTACCATTTTTGATCACTTACGGTTGTCACGTGCTAAAATCACGTATCCTTTTTGTACTATTTCTGATCACATTATTAATGATAGTTTCTCTTCGTGAATGATAGAGTGCTCATTTCTAGGCCAAACCCTTTTCAATGACCTTCCTTCGGTAAATTTCATAGTTCAATGATTGTATAAATTCGCACTTCAGTATTGGGTTTTTTTCGCCGTTACTTGGTTTCCTGTCGAACATATCTTTTTCAAAGCCACTCATTGAGCCTTCCTTCTATGAAGTTAGTTGTTTCGTATCAGTCACTTTCCTTCTGAAGCTGTGGTGTGAGCGCCATTTTGTTCAATCTTCAGATTCTGGGATATAAATATATATCGAACCAACGTCGTCCCAAAATTAGAATACATTTCCAATTGCTATCCTGGTAATTGAAATTTCTTACTCACAATCTTTAATATAATATTCGTTACCTGAAATCCGGTAGGAAAGAGCAAATAATTGAATTTGAATAAATGCTATTGGTAAGTACAAGGTAGAAGCGTCAGTCATTGAACCAGACCATTCCATGAGTCACTGATAATCAAAGTTTATAGTCAGTCTACATATTTCAACAATACAAATATTTACTATCTCAAATTAGACCTTAAAATATTTTATTTGCTGTATGATACGCTTAGTGACATTGGAAGCGTTACACGCAGAAAAAAATTATTTCTGCAACTAGATTTCTTGGCAATGAGGGAGGGTAGCAACTTTTACTTGGTCTTCCATTCGAAGGTTATTGGAATAAAATCGCGAATAGGAGAATCGCGTATCATACAAGATGCCTTAAACACAATACTTATCGGATATTATCTATATACCGTTCTCATCCCTAAAAGACATTCGAGTAATTGCATCTCGCTTCATGGCCAACCTTGATCGTTCTTTTTAAGCAATAGCTATACAGGGTGTCCGCAAAGTTGGGGTTTCCTTTTCAGAAACAACTACCCTTGAAATAACAAAGGTAATGTGTAGTGAAACGAGGGCGACCAAGTAAAAAAAATAAAGGAAAAAGTACGCACTCTCCAGTTGACGAGAAGGGCTAAGTACGTCTCTGCCCAAAATCATACCGCTCCAACAGAAAATGAAATCAGCCGAAGCGCTACCGAGCAGACGCAGAAACCACATTGATTGTCTTACATTTAATAGCACACCTTCTAACAAGGAAGGCAAAATGTTGCGTGAAAAGTCTAGGTATTGCATCCCGTCCAATCGATTTGGGAGAATAAATGGTCCAATGAGCATACCGTTCACCATGCCAGCCCAAACATTCACCGAAAATGTTTGTTGAAAATGTGCCCGACGGACAGCGTGCGGATTTTCTACTGACCAAACATGAGTGTTGCGAAAGTTATTCACTCCATTAGGCGTGAACGTAGATTCGTCTGTCACTAACATGCACTTCAAAAGGTCAGGATTATTGTCATGTTGATGCAACAACCACTCACAAAACCGCACTCTTGCTGGAAAATCGTCAGGTTGAACGGCTTGAACACGTTGGACGTGAAACGGATACAGCCTCTCTTCACGCAGCGTTTGCCACACTTTAGTTTTTGATACTTGCACTTCTCTACCCACGTCTCTAGTGCTTGTTGAGGAATTCTCGTCTACGCGATTACCTCGACATGCGTGACCGTAACCGTCGGTTGAAGGTTGCATACTAACCTGACACACTGACCACGACCCAGTTCTGCCGTCGGGTTGAGACCTTGTACCAATCGGTGATGACCCGGTTCGCGGCTACAGGACGGTATTTAGATATTTTTGATGTTGCAGAGCCCTTTATCTCGGTTCCCTTAAAACATTGGTGTATATGGTACTAAGAAAAATTGCTTATGTTTTCAAGATCTACACGTCGTGTAAAGGAAGACCCCAACTTTGCGGACACCCTGTATAATATTATATTGGAGCTCAGGAAAGACATTGGAAGAACTTTTTATATTCAAGGTTTTTAATTCACCCGGGGCCAGTGGGTCAAATCATAAAAATGGCAAAGCATAAAACTGATTAGTGATGTTAGTTGATGGAACGTTACTTGATAGAGGTGTGACCTAGTCTTTGTTTGTCGCCGATTGTCACTAGCAAAGAAAGTCAAATGAGTGACTTTGAAGGTATGTTTGGTAGGCAACCATAAATTCTTATATAGTTCGTACAGGGAGCAACCACAGAGTGGCGCTGATGCTGGATATTCCCGTCGTCCAATGTTCAATGCTTTGACGTTGATGTATTCGTAATTTTGAATTTAAAATTGATTTGGTGATCCTGATATCTATTGAGCGCTAAACTGAACTTAAATTTACAAACTTAGTCTTTGTAATGAAGGCTTATCGACAGCGTCGATTTGAAAATTGCGTGGTGCCTGGTTGTACTAATACAATCAGTAAAAGACATACAATTCCAAAATATGATGCCGCTCTTTTCAACAAATAGATCGAACAGGTACGAGATTCAGTTTTGGACAATAAAAGTCACGAAAGAATTTCCAAAAGACGTTTGGTATGTGACTAACATTTTTCGGAAAGTGATAAGGTGCCTGGAACCAAGAGAGATCTGAAAAGAACGGCTTCTCCTACATTACATCTTTCTGAACTTCAATCTTCAAGGAAGTTATAACTTAGATTACATACATATGTAAACCAGGTACGTGCATTGTGTAATCAGTGAATAATCAGGATTAAATGATTCGAACATTTTGGTGTCCTGAAAACTTTCACAGTATTTACGGTTTGCACATTTTTTGGAAAAATTTTCTTAGCATATACACAATGAAATTCAATTATTTTTTCAGGTACTGTATCGGAAAATGTTCAGAGTAGTCCCGAAGGTCATGAAAGGAGTAGAGATATCGCTAATTGTAAATTTAATTGCTCATTTTTGTTCTCAAGATACCCCCAAGTGCAGGAAACACATGAACATCGCATATCTCCTGAACTATCAATGACCTATATATAAAGAGATAACAAGGGACTGTCACACTGATAAGAGATCTTTGACAATGCATGTCTGATCACAGATTAGGTGCTGTTCCAGTTTTTCATGCACGCGATGATATTGTATTAAACATACACATTTTAAAAATAAAAATTGAACCTTATTTTACTTGAAATGTCTCGTATATAATTTGAGTATCTAATTCAAATTTAGCTCTAAGTGTAAGAGGGAAGTCCGAAGATGGCGCTAAGTATTCTATATTTTTAAAGTGTTCTATAAATGTTCGTGTAGGTTCTACAGGGTGCGGCAGAGAGGACGGACGTTTTTGGGATGGATAGTACTCTCCGCCTCCGTCTACTAGAGAGGTGGGGAGGGTGCCGTTTGACTCGCGAGATCCTAGCATTATTTTACCAGTTGTCGTTATGGAGCCTTGGACGTGAGATGGAAGCACTGATCGATGAAAATGAGAAACTCATTTTGTTTATGAGTGACGCAGCCCACGTTCACCTAAACAGCATTATTAACCAGCAGAATTGACGTTATTGGGCTAATTAAAATCCGCAACAGTTACACGAAAGACCGCTGTACAGCCCAAAAGTAACTGTTTGGTGCGCTGTATCGCAAACTTGCATCATTGGCCCTCTATTCCATGGTCGGCTTATTTCCAGGTTTGGCGATGCTGATTCTCCTCGGTCCCCAGATTTATCCATACGCGATTTTTTCTTATGGGAACACCTCAAGGCTAGAGTATACGCGAACAAGCCCCGAACTCTGGACGAATTGAAGGGCGAAATTCGCGTGGATGTCGCCCAAGTTGAGAGAGCGATGTTGGAGAGAGTCTACGCGAACTTCCAAGAACGCCTCCAGCACTGCATCAACGATTACGGCCACCACTTGCCTGATGTGATTTTCCACATTTGACTGTCTCAAATGCTATTTCCTTGTGAACCCGATTCCATCAATAAATTTGTTTTCGAGTAAAAATTAACTATTTTATGATTTTTTTAAAACCGTCCGTCCTCTCTGCTGCACCCTGTATAAAAAGTTCGGAGTATATCCCAGGGATGGTACTACAAACCTAATGGCAAACCTTAGCAGTACAGATTTTTGTATCGTAATCAGGTATTAGATTCTGAAGTATTGCATATGATCGCTACCTATGCCGCTTGCAGGATCTCGATGTTCTGCATTATCGCAGTATATTCATGAAAGTAAATTTTAGAACGCAATAGTCCTAAGATGCACTGCCGATATCAGAAGTTATACACGGATATCTTGCACGATGGGAGTTGATACTGCAGTGCAACCATTGGGTGATACCCGGTAAGCAAGAACATCCTTTATTTGATCGGGTGTGACCAGTTCACGATCTGCTTGAGATTCACCGTTTCACCAAGGAAGACAAACATATCATCACAAACGCCTAGGAGCATTCTCTTATAGGTATTCGTTTAGGAATGTTAGATAATTCTGTCAAGATAGTGCAAATCTGAGGAGATATAGCAGAGTTCCCCAAACTTCTTTGTGTCGTTGATCCCTTGCCATGTTTTTCCGTGTTGGGTAGTCACCCTACTTACCTGATATTGATTTCCTGTAAATTTCTAACTGTAGTGAAGTTTAGTGATAAAAACTTAAAGTAAAAACACTTGTTAATTCATACATTTATTAATTGAATTTAAATTAAAACTACTCAAAATAAAATTTTGTATCTGTTATGTAAAATATACGTAACATTAAATGAACAGGTGTCTGACCAATAAGTGCCCGCATTGGGAATAAGTGCCCGCATTGAAAAAAAATAAGAAAAATAATAAAAAAAAAGTTTTTTACTTAAAATAGTACAATAAGCGAGTTCGTTTATTAATTATAACATAAACGTATGTTCTACAATAATTTCACTGTTAGTTTGATTAAATTCCGCTTCTTATACATATAAGTTATCTAAAAATAGACAAAAAATCAACGAATTTCAGTGTGTACCTATCCTTGAATTTTCAGAATAACTAAAAAACATATTTTCTATAAAAAAGTCAATGCGGGCACTTATTCCCAATGCGGGCATTTATTGCCCAGACACCAATAAAGATAAAATAAACTATAAATAAAATAACATAAGCAATAAGTCAATATTTTTAGTGAGAAGGATGAACCTGATGTTTTAATAATAAATTATCAACATTTGGCGTCAATTTTGTAAGGGTTAATCTTAAATCTCCTTGGCTAATGATGTCCAGTCTGTTTCTTTTTTTCGTTAGGAGATTGGTAACAGCGCTGAACCCCCTTTCCACTAGGTATGACGATGGAAAGGAAATTAAAAATGTCCTCGCTATATTCCATATTACGGGATAAGTAACGGGTATGTTGTTTTCAGCCAGAATTGCTGATATCCGTTTTTAAACTGAACCTTAAGTTCTTCGTTTGTACTTAGTTCAGTCAGTTCCTCTTGTATTATGACATTGGTTTCTTCTATGTCACCATATGGATTAATTATCCACGGTGGTATTACCATAGTCAAAATATCCTCAAACCTAGATTCAAAATCTGAATAGAGGGCATTTAAATGTTGAACGTAAGTTGAAACGTTGTCTTCCTGGCAGCTTGTCTGTGACAAATTGGGGAACTGAGAAAATTCGCCCCGTCCAATATTTTGTTTCATTAGTTTAACTCTGCGAAGAAACGCTGATAAGATGGACGTTTTAATCAAATTTAAACTGTCGCCTTGTAATTGCAAATTAACCATATTAAATTTTTTAAACAAATCTGTTAAATAGGCGATGTCTGTTTTCCTCTTCATTTAATTTTCTTTTAAAATTTTATCTTCAGTATCCAGAAATTCTAAAATAGTCTCAGAAAGTGCAAAAAATCTTGTCAAACATAAGCCTTTCGACAGCCAGCGTACTTCAGTGTGAAGGAGTAATTGATGAAAGTGTTCGTCATTTTCTTCACACAACTGCGCAAATAACCGCGTATTCAACGCGTAGCTTCGGATTCGGTTTACTGCATCAATGACTAAATGAAGTAATTCATGCAATCTAACACTCAGGTCTTTAGCAACTAAATTTTATCGATGGATGACGCAATGTATTGCTAACACCCCTGACACATTTTGTTTTAAATAGCTTATAAATCCACGACAATGTCCAACCATGGCAGGTGCTCCATCTGTAGCTACTATATTATATTTGATAAAGGAATTGCTTTTTCAATGAAGTAATCCTTTAAAACATGAAATATTGATTCACATTGCCGATTATCGAAGTTCTTGCGAAGAGCAGTTCTTCGTAGATTTCTTGATTCATAATAAAACGAACATATGCTAATAATAATCCTGCATTATCAGGTAAAGTTGACTCGTTCAGTTGTATAGAGAAATGGGTCGTTTGCAAATGATTACATAAGACGCTTTCAATATCAGAACTCATTTCATCAATACGTCTTTCAATAGTATTGTTGCTTAAGGGAATTATTTTAATGATATCAGATGCAGGTTTGTGTAAAACAGTTTTTAAAACCTCTTCAACGGCTAGCAAAATTAACTTCTCTCCGATAGTATGCGGTTTTCCGGATTTTGCTATAAGTAACGAGGTATTGTAAGACGAACGCAAACCATCATCATTTCTTTGTGACGTCGAAGCGAACATTCTGTCCAGTGTAGGTATCTGCTGAAATTTAACTTTGAGTGCTTGAAAGGATATCAAATCTTTCTGTGTTTTATCAGGATGGCATCTTCTCAGATGATCTTGCAGCTTAGATGGTTTCATAGCGTCATTGCCCAAGACTTTGTTGCATAAAAGGCGATTGTTTGTCCGGCAATGATGGAATGAAGCCAAATTTCAAATAATCAACACTGTACTGTCTACATTTCTTTTTAGATTCGGACATGGCATCAGTCATCTGTGGGAAAAATTAAATTATTTAAATAAGACAGAAAATCCAGCAGCTGTATATTAAAAATATTTTTTGATTTTTCCGAAAACATTCCATAATTTGAATATCTTCTTGCAACAATTAGCTCGAATTAGGGAGATTGCGCTGTAATTATATTACCGATTGCTAAAACTTTCAAAAAGAAACTATTGAGGAGTACTCGTGTAATTTTGCATGGTTGAATATTTAGCTACTAATAACTAAAGTCATGATTGGCGTAATTTATCTATCTTTGCTAACTAGGAAGGACAAAACTAAAATTTAATAGAAAATAAGGTACTCACTTTTCTCCAGCACCCTCAAACAAAATAACGCTGACTCACTACAATTTGTGTGATATGCTATCTGTTTATATTCTTTAAAATATTTTCTTAGCACTTCCCTTTTCAAGATTCAGGAAACGAATAAACTTATTTGTCCCACATTCGTATTTATAGAGTGACGAATTGAACAAGTCAGTGCAAGGTAGCGAAGCTCTGAGACTGCGACTCTCAGGTTTTTACAAGTTCAAAATGTATTGCGACCACAAAGCGAATACCAACATCCTACAACTTACACAATTTTATAAACATATATAATAAATTTTTTACTTGATAAGTACTTTTATAAATAAAGTATATGTTTTGATATTATAAGATAGTATGATGTAAGTAAATAGGTACTATCAGTGTATGTGTTGAGATCTACTATCGTGGACCCGCATATTCATTTCATGGACCCCCAAATTTTTTTTCGCTGACGTAGACCCCTTGCAGGTTGTCATAGACCCCTAGGGGTCGATAAAGACCACTTTGGGAATCAATGAGATAGAGAAACATCGTTGATTGACCTCTGGATTTTTTGACAGCATACCGAAACCAAGGCAGAACCTCATTACAACTATCACCTTATAACGATTCGCGAAGCATCCTTTCAGCCACCACCTTTTTATTTTCTAGAGAATTCCACGCAGGGCATTTCTTTCGGAGGTCTAAAGACCCGTCCCATCCTATTCTGCTGCTTTTTGCTTTAGAAAGGGTCGCTTCTTTCATCCCTGAGGGCCTTTTTGCTTACTCCCACAACTGCACCGCACGCTGTCGGCAACTTGAAAATGGATATACACAGTATGTCGGGATGATAGATGAAGCAGGGTCAGGGCCGTACGGAGCTGATACGGGGCGAAGTGTGAAATTGAATACCCATTAGACTCATTATTTTATAAGTCCAGTCATGAGTGGTTGCACTCTTCTGCATGACAAAGTTTCAGGCGTAGCAGGTCGGAAAACCTCACAAAGTAAAAACATATTATCTACGTCAAAGGAAAACGAAATTACATAATAGGTTCTAAAAGTTCCGCCCAAAAAGTCAACTGAGCCTCATTGAGAGAACTTGGAAATATTTGTTTGCCTGACCATATACACAGATGAAGAAGATGATGCTGTAATATCTCGTAACAAGGTATCCCTAAATCCCAAATTAACACAAGTTTTGAATTAAACAGGAAACAGTCTTAAGTCTTTAGATTGTTATTTTTATTGGATCATGAGGTATTTAGGATAGGGTTATACATGAAATATCACATCGGGCCTCCCCGGCTTAGCCTTTTGTCGAAATTTTTCATGTCCTTTTTCCATATTGGTGGCTGAATTTCGTTGGCGCACCGCTTAATCTCCTCTTGTAAGGCAAGGGTGGTTGTGGGTTTATTGACATAGACCTCTGACTTTAAAGAACCCCGTAAGAATAATAATAATAATAATAATTTACAGAAATGTGTTTGCACAGGTCAGTTAGAGTAGAACATAGAAGAGTAAGTGAAAACAACAAACAATACCAAAATAAGACAAACGTAAAACACAGAGTGGCAATAAAAGGTAAAAAAACTTGATAAAACCTAGTTTAAATTTAGATGAACAGTAAAATAAGATGGTTAAAAAATTATGAAATAATAATCATTCTGTCATGTTTGTACTCAAAAGTCCTTACACACGTCTGGAGAACAATAAAATGTAATACAAAAATAACACATACACAAAAAAAAACAAACGAAAACAAAGTAATAAAACAAATAGTGAAAAATTATAGAACAAATTCGGTAAAATCATTATTTAAAAACTCATATATGCTGTAAAAAGCTTTCGTCATTAGATATCTTTTCACAGTTGCTTTAAAAATGGTTGAGATGAGTGTTTGACAAAACCTGGGCAGCGCATTAAAAAATTTCACGCAGAAATGTATACTACAGCAAACACCTTCGACACATGACATGAATGACCCCATATCAGTATGCAGTAGTGCAAGCTACTGAATCACTTCTTTGTGGACGAGTACTGAGTAGAAGAGATTGAGTTTTCGCTAGGTTGATTGACAAACTGTAGGCATTAAACCAGTTTTGAATGTTTTGTCAAAATGCTGCTGAGAATCGAGTAATATATGGTCAAAGTTATTATTGGACGATATTGATGTCGTGTCATCCGCGAATAATATATATTGATTGATGCTACAGTTTGGCAGATCATTGATGTAAATCGAAAAAAGAATCGGTCCTAAGACACTTCCTTGGGGAACTCCGTGCTTAATATGTACATTGTTAGATAAACAATTTTGAAAACCAACATACTGTCTTCTGTCTGATAAATAAGACGCAAGTAAAGCCAGGCTGTTATTAATAAAACTATATAGCGACAACTTTTGAATCAAAATGTGATGTTGGACACGATCAAATGCTTTTGTAAGATCATAGAAGTTAGCGAGAGTAAAAATGTTATCTTCCAGACATTTGTTGATGAAACTGATAAAATCCTTTATTGCTGCTTTCGTTGATCTGTTGGTATGGTATCCAAATTGGTTGTTACAGACCAAATTGTTAGCTTCGAAGTATTCACATATCTGATTCCGTGGATCAGTCTCACATCCTTTCTTGAAGAGTGGCAGAATAAATCTAATGGTGTCAAATGGCACGATCTAGGGAGCCAATTCTGAACACCGAAACGGAAAAGTACAAGACCAGGAAATGTCTCATGCGGTAACTGAACTATCTCACCGGATGTATGGCATGTCGCACTGTGTTATTGAAACCACATATTGGCCACATCCTTAGCATTCAATTTCAGCAAAAAGAACTGTGTTATCATCGCGATATTAAGCATCAGTAACAGTTACTGCTTTACCAGCCCTATGTTCAATAAGGTATGGTCCAATGATCCCTCCAGCATAAATCCGCACCAAACAGTGACACGTTGCGGCTGCATTTGTTTTTCTACAAATCTACGAACGCCAAATACGGCAATTTTGGCGATTAACAAAGCCACCATGGTGAAACTGTACTTCATCGCTCAGGATGATTTTGCTCAAAAAAATCAGCATCTACATGTTAATGTTCAATGAATAATCCATTCGTCGAGCTGTGTTCGCTGTTCTTGGTCAGTAGGCTTCAGTTGTGTGAATTGAATTTTGTAAGCATGAAGACACAGATCTTTGGTGGGTATACGCTGTGGAGAGCTTCTTGAAATTTGCAGTTCTTGTCCACGACGCCTAATTAACGTTCCTGGACTTTCACTAACACTCTCACGCTCTGCTTCGAGATGGACACGTGAACGGCTTGTTATTTGTCAACCGGCGAGTTTAGCACCTTCAACTGATCCAGTCTCCCTGAATTTTTCAATTAATCTTTGCACCGTTGACCTTCATCTTTGCACTATGATGATACACTATCAACAGACCTTGGGTAAACGAGGATATAGTGAGAAGAGCCACTCAGGACGTAAAAAGATCGAGGCGCTATATCCCAGTGATCATCAACGTATTCAAACCATCACTAAACAAAGAATTGGCTATCATAAGCCTGAGTTCGGCTTCCCATCCTAACTTACGTACTTCCAGGACTGCCTGATTTGGCCGCTCTCTTGTCACTAGGGTGTCACACGCCAAAATCATGTAGCCTTTTTGTTTATAGACAAGAGGAAATGGTGGTGTGATTCCTCTTCTCTTTATTTATGAAACTAATTAATGAACTAATAAATAAGACACTATAAATGAAGACTAAGGCTCGGCCAATGCAAAACAGCTGTCTAGTGGCGTGCAAATTTAGGCCCTAGCCCAAAGCAGAGAGTAGGGGGGGTTAAGAGCGCCAGTGACTTAAGACGGATTGAGCCACAAACCTATTTTGTCTGTCCCTGATTTCGGTAGAACGTTTCACCTACAAACCGATGCATCAAACTATGGTTTAGGAGCAGTTTTAACCCAACAATTCTAGGAAGGTGAAAGGGTGATATATTATCTTTCTAGGTCTTTAACCAAACAGGAACTGAACTGTCAGTTACGTAAAAGGAATGCCTTGCCGCTATTTGGTCGGTCGAAAAGCTGGGACATTATTTAGATTGTCTACATTTCAAGGTAATTACAAACCATGCTTCGTTGTTATGGCTGCATAGATTAAGAGATCCCCAAGGTCGCCTTACCCCTTGGCAATTGCGTCTTCAGCAGTGTGTGCGAAGATCACGTAACCTTGTTTTTACTATTTTGATCACTTACTAGTAATATGAATTTCTCTTTATTAATGTTACAGTGCCGCTTCCTAGGCCAAACCCTTTTCATTCAATGATTTTCTTTTGGTAAAGTTCATAGTTCATTGATTGTATAAATTCACACGTATTATATCTTTTTTCTCAGTGATTCAGTATTGTATCGATAAAACAACAGTGGTTTTTCTCCGTTGTTTGGTTTCCTAACGGACAACATATATTCCTCAAGGTTCCTCATTGAACCTTCCTCTATAGAGTTAGGTGTTTCATGCCAGTGACTTTTCTCCTGAGATTGCAGTGTGAGCGCCTTTTGTTTAACCTCCAGATTCTAAGATATTAGGTGCCGAACACCATTTTGTGGAGTAGTACCCCTACGATTAGTTGTTTTGGTTTGGGTGCTACCCCGTCCATTTTCTTATGGGATTTTAATGTTTGGCGTGGGAAGGCATCGCGGAGAACCACCATACACTCCAGCTCTGCTTGGAGCTGTTTTGCAGCTAATATTGCCGGAAGCCACCCCTTCCCCTCGATAAAAAAAAGGTTACGTGATTTTGGCACGTGGCACGATATTATAGGACAATCTACCTGATAAAGCTTATCCCACTTCTGCTAACCTTATTGAGTTTAAAAATTATCTTCATAGCAGTCGCGATGCCCTGGTATTCAGGCTCCTACCTGCGCAGTTGCTTCGGTATAAAAAAACCACGAGGATGTTAAACAGTTTTGTTGAATTTATATTTAAATTCTACTTACAATTTCGACCTCAAAACTCCTGAAGCTAACCTGTAACAAATAAAAAATCAATTATTGGGTATCACGAGATCTGTGAATTAAGTGATCAGACTGGCAACGTAGCGTTCGATCTAGCAATACCGAAAGCGCCGGGCTTGGAGGGGAGACAGGAGAATATTTGGTCCTCCCTTTGTACAGTTATTCTATTGTCTACAACGGGAGAGGTGTGGTATCATGTTTTGCATTAAGGCTTTTTTAATTTTGATAATAAAATGAACATGGTAAAAGGGATTTACAAATCTTATCAGGCGCGAAATGAATGCACATATGAAACTGCAAAAGTAGATACACACTGATGAAGCCAACCAGCAGAAATACGTATCGCTCGAGTTACCTATCCTATTTTCTGCTCGAATCCACTTTCCTCTTTTTTGCGGATTTTGCCCACTATTTTTCTACTTTTTGTTATATACCTTTCTCCGCATGATCATTTTCTCTTTATATATATATATATAGGTGAAAATTAAAGCTTCCGCCTTTTGTTGGGCACTTCGACAAAATTTAAGCAAGGAAGAGTCTTTATACTTTTTTAATCTCTCTAGCTTTCAATGGTCTTTGCCATCATCATCAGGAGCGGCAATTACATTGAAAAAAGTAGCAACAATTGTGTAAAATGAATTTAAATTAACTTATAGTAGTATGTGAGGATTCTGCTAAATGTTATTTACGTTAAGGATGATGGAAACACTCAGTAACATGGTAAAAGCTAGATACATGGTACACTGTTCAAAATTATACAAACTACACACAGCTGAATGACAAGAACAAATTAAAAACAGATTAAAAATATTTAAAACGAAAGTTAAGCATTATATCGTGAAGCCACTTGATGATTGCACAAAATGGTGGGCATAGAATCATGTGTAAGATG